CCCCAAAACCCCAAAACCCCAAAACCCCAAAACCCCAAAACCCCAAAACCCCAAAATATAATTTTAGGATTGAGATATCATAATTAAATAATGGAAAAGGCTAACTCAGCTCCTAAGTTGAGGTTCAAGGACAGAATTACCTCCAATGAGTATGCATTGCAGCAAGAAATTGAACAGAAAAATCTGATTGATTTGGGTGCAATGAATCAGCAGTACTTTAATATCACTTCTGCGCCCAAGCTGGCAGGATTAATTCGCATATTTTTCAATGACTATCAAAATCTACAAGCTTTACGGAAGACCGCTAAGTTGGATCCGAAGGTAAGGAAGCTTGAGTTTATTGGACTTCATGAAATATTCAAAAATGACAAGAAACTTAACGATGTGTTAAGGAACATAAGAGTGTGAGAACTAAAGACATTCTACTTCGATGGATACATCATGAATTCAGTACATGTATAATGGATATGTTGTTCCACATCACAAATCCTAAAGTAATATAAAATTAATTATCATTCATTCTAATTCCTCAACTCCGATATTGGTGAAGTGATTAGAAACCTTCAAGTTGAGGTATTTAATAGAATTATATATTTCTGTATATTTAAGAATACAACAATAAGAACTGCTCGATTCAATTCAGTACATTTCAGCTTTTATGCCAGAAACATCATTAAGCTTATACCCCTTGTTTCTGATTTCATTCAAATTAAGCATTTCAAGATATAACACAAAGACTTTGGCAGAATTCTCATGGCATGCAAAAGTTCTCCAAGAGTAGTGTTTCGACAATGCACAATAACCATCAATGGGTTTGACTATCTTGAAAATGCTCAGCCTTCAATTGAAGACATCATATTTTATAACAACACCATCATCCAACCTATGAAGACAAAGAATTCTTTGATGGGCTCATTCAGAAGATGGCAGAATCAAAGCTTAGTAACTCACTTAAGAATGTCTTAATTCGTACAAGAAACCCAATGAGATGAAGATTGAAAACGCTGGCAAAGAAAGAATATACTATTGGAAACTTTCATGTCCTTATTCTATATACACCTTAGTATAAATCTCAATCATAAACTATCTTTTGAATTTAGAGAAACATGAGGAACAACCCTAAAATTCCTAGAAGGCGATAACCTCTTCATCAAAGGGCTTAAGGTCTCTATGATTCTCTTCCTAAGCACTGTTCTATGCTAACAACTAAAATTTCGACACTAAATTTCCGAATTTGGGTAAATTCCTCATACCAATAGCTGTTAAAACCCTGAAGAAATCTACCTTTAGCAGAATCCCAAAAGTTCATTTTTAGTCAAAATTTCATGAAATTTCTTATCGATTACGGCTAAACTCTTGGGTCAGAATATTCCCTCTAAACCCGGTGGGTTCTATCCATCTGTAAGCTTAGTGAAGAAGGCTGATAAGGTCTATTCTTCCTCTTCTGTGCCACCCTTGTTATCTGGTTACAAACCTGGGGATAGCTCGGCTTACAGGGAGAAGTCTTACCTGTGCTTTGAGAGTCCAGAAGCAAAGTTTGACCCATTGGTTGTTTTTAAAACTCTATTTGAAGAGTTGGTGTATTACTAAAGTACGCATAATTTAAAAGAGTGATTAAATTTAAGATAATAGAGATTAGTTAAAATTAAGGCTGATTACTACCTAGAAGACCTAAAATATTGGCTGATATCTTTGACTTCAGGAGTAGAACCAACTCCAAATCTTCTATTGTTATTTAATATTATTTAAAACTTAATCTCAACCATCTGACAAATATCTTGTGATCACCTTTGGAATGATTGTGACCACTCTTGAAGTGGTTGTGATCACTCTCAATATGGTTGCAAACATTTTCCAACCGAGGATGTTCACAGTCTTCAAATAGTGTTTTCAAGCACTTTCTGCCAGATGGGGTTTTGGGGTTTTGGGGTTTTGGGGTTTTGGGG